GGGGGGGGGGCTAATTCGAGGATTTGCGGTTGTACCATAATACTAGCACCCATTATGCCTTTGTAGTATAAAAAAAAAGAGAAAGAGAGAGTTGCTTAGTAGTTTTGACTCGATAACGGCAACATCTTTATGCAGCAACTGGGTCTACTTTCTCGTAAGCCTTGGTAGGTTATGACTAGAGCCGGTTGGACTCTGGATCAAGAGGTCTGGGTATAAGCCTAGATTGGGTTCTTCCCGTGTTTGTTTTCTATCCTACAGTATATAGGTGTTTTGGCGAATTGCTAGGCAACTTCACAGTTATCATGGCGATGGACTGCCATGAATAGCATCTTAACTTGGGTGAATGGCACAATTCTTAGTCACGTAATTTTACTGTTATAAACACCTTGATCTAGTAAATCTGGTAAATGATTGAAGTGACGTAACGAACTTGTTTCCAAACTTTGAACTGTTGAGTTTCGTTGCAGGTGATCGACTGGCTTGTGCAGAATGCAAAAAAAGTTCTAGAAAGGGTTGAAGCACGTGATCCATTGGTTGAGGAATGTAAACACAAGTGAGTTATAGCTAATTAAGAACGATTTTCTCGCCCAATACTCTGCCGTAATCACTTGTCTGCTTATCTTTTACATTTTCTGACCTACAGTGGAACCTCCGTTAACGGACGCCTCCCATAGGTGAACATTTCTTGGTCCCAGCCATATACAAACACTACATTTTTAACCTCCCGTAAGCATACATCTCTCTTGCATTGTTTTCTGATCCCAATAGTGTCCTTTACGGACGGTTCGACTGTATATGTATAAGTGAGAAAAAGTTCTTACAGCGATTTCTAACCAATCAGAGCAAACAACCTTGATTTCAACCAATCGGAGCAATACCGAAACCAACCTTGACCTGGCCTGCATACGTTTAAACCGCGCTTGGCGCTGGTTCCATGTTTTCAAGCCATTGTGACCGGAGGCAAGTTTACCCGTGCTTGGCGGCGCTCGTTACAATTTTTCCTACTCTCCTTGCTACTAACTCGAGATCTGATTGGTTCTTTGCAGTTTCTACCGCAAAATTAGAAATTGAATTCAAACTGTTTCTCCCTCCTTTTTGTGTTGGTCAAGTTGAGCTGAGAGTTGAGATTGTTATCATTACTCTCTTTTTCCTTATCCAGGCGACAAGTACGTTACAGGGGAACACCGCGAAATGTTTACAGGCACGTGATCATGTCAGGTAAATCAATTTAACTCTACTCTCAGTTAGGCTTTCGGAATTTCAAACACTTCCAGAACACTTTTACTTCAATTGTGGTGATTAATCCTACGCTTTTATTGAAGCAGGACTCGAAATATGTGGTGCGTTCCTTTCTTGAAGGTGATTCAATCATGGCCTAGAACATTTGTTATAGTTAAATCAAATTAACACTTCCTTTGTTGTAGATATTAAAGATGCTACTGCTTCTCTTCCTATGGTAAGATCTCGTTGTTTTCTTTTGGTTCTTTCCTTACTTTTTCTCAAGCTCTGTAGGTTGGTAAAAGGTGAAATCTATATACGAGCCAAGTGACCCGTCAGGCTGGAGCTTATCGCTGTAGCATGAAGCGACTAGGAGTATTTCTACTCCCTCCTGGATGGGATGCTAGTCCATCGCAGGGTTACCCCCAGGATTAAATTCGCCGGTACCCATTTATTCACCTGGGTAGAGAGAGACACTGAGAGTATATGTGTCTTGCCCAAGAACACAGCACAATGTTCTCAGCCAGGGCTCGAACCCAGACCGCTCGATCTTAAGGCCAGCGCGCTAACCATGAAGCCACAGCGCCTCGTGGTCACGATCGCCTCAAGTACTGTACTGTGTAGTTCCTGTCAGTCAAACAATGTGCTTCAAATTTAAGCATGCTTTATCTTATATCCCCCAGGTTTCAGTTGCTACTTTTTCTCTTTTGTTTTAGGACTTGGCGAATGTTCCCCTTGTGTCCTATGATCCTCTGCCACCTCAAGATTCAGTTACAGGCTACGCGCGGCCATCAAGGTAACGACGTATATTCAAGATATTTTTAATAACTTTAATAATTTTTTTATAACTTCCGTCACCCACACGGTTAATTGGTTCTTGTTTTTAAGCAATTGTTAAGTTAATATTCATGGCTTAAAAATTATTCTGCTCATTTTACAAGCCGTCTATACAAAACAGACTTGTTTGACAACACAACATTCTCGAAAGGTTAAAAGTTTATGATTTATTTAGCTACTTACGTGCTTGTCTGCTTTCCTACATCTTCTTGCTTCTGTCCATTTATCTCATTGTGTCTTTTTCTGCTATGTAGTGGATATGTTTGAAGTTTTAACAAAACAAACTTCGCAATCCACTAGACGTGATATCCGGTGGATAGCGTTATCAACCCTTCGAACAACCGGGCCAGCTGATTTTCAAAATTTGCTACAGTATCAAATAACAATAATTACGAAAGTCATCCTCTAGAGAGTCATCCTCCGCTGTCATAAATAAGGACAATTCATCTTTCCGTCATCTTTTCAGGAGGAATATAAGTCGTGAGGAAGACCACGGTCCTTTATCCATGTTTTTCCGCTCGCTGCTTCCTTCCTTCAACGCCCAGGCCCCTAACGGACCACGCGTGGAAGTGAGATTTGAACAACCCATAGAGGGAGCAGAGGGTGGGCCCAGGCCTTTGCGGGATACAGAACTCGCAAGGGGCGTGGAAAACCTGATGGTCGCCATGAGAGAACTGCTAAATACTCTTAGTTACCGTGAAGAACCTGAAGAGGCTGGGGACGAGCAAGGAGATAACCCCGGAGAAAATGATCATGCTGAAGATGAATGGGAAGATGGGGAATAAAAACATTGCAAAGCTTACTTATAAAATGACCTTGCACACAGATTTCTGCGCTCATCTGTGCAAGTGGAGCTATTCTTGGTATCTGTACGGCAAAATCTTCCAGCTTGTAGTTACAGCATAGATCCCCGGATTAGTTCCAGGTAAACCAGTAAATGGCTTCCACTAAACTTCCCAACCCGGATTGACTTCATCTTCATGTTGCACCTTGTTTTGTGCGATACAGCGTTTTGAGACTCTTAAACAATGGCGAGAAAACTTAGTTTTCCTTGAAGTTTCTTTTTCAAAGTCGCTTAACCTCTTGGCACACTACAACACGCCCATCCCCGCATTGAAAGATGGCGGTGAACCAACTATTTGCGCGACGTTGTCTCAGTAAACGTTTGTACGACGGCCTGAGGAACGTGACGGTCACAAAACAGGCTGTGACAGTGCAGCAAGGGCAGACGACAACAGCGGAGGCTTAAAAGATCAGATTAGAAGGCGTAATACTTTGTGGAACTGAAAATTTGAATTCTGTCCGTTGGCTTATGTCCTCTAGCCAGGGGTGAAGGGTATAAAATGGTAAAAGAAGCTCAAGTTTGGGTTTGAGAACTATCTTATCAATCCTAATGTTTCAGAAGGCACAGCATATTCTTGATCAAATCAGATTTGCTCAATTAGGAAGAGGAGATCGGAAAAACGAGCGGAAAGGGCTTTTGAGCTTACTTGTGACTGTTGATGAGCTTGGTCGGCGGATTCATACCCTGCGCGTGCGCAGAAGTTCTATAATCCCAGAAATGCTGAGCTTGCGTGATAGCCGTACGCAGATAGGAGAAATTATTTGAGTGTGAGGGAGGAAGCCTCTTGCAGCTCTTTGGGTTTCGTTGTTAAGGTCACATGTAGAATGAAGCGTAAGTAATGAAAATTGAAAACAAGTGACCAGCTGGAGAGTTCTACATTACTTAAGTTGGCTGGAAGAATATATATTATTACAGTAATTAAACTTAACAAGAAGCAATGACTTTCGTTTTATTGAACCATTTTCATAACCGAGATTTAATGAAACAATCAGAAAGCTAGAAAATGCATCATCTGAGGTTGAGAATTAATGCTGAATTGAACATTTTTTTACAACTGCAGCGATTCTCGCGCGCTTATTGGCCAATTTTCATTGTCAATCAGCGGACAAACACATGAATTTATAATTTATGCGATGCGTCAACGAGCGAGGAGGGGAGTGGACAATTTGACAATTTGCTATTGTAAAAAACAAATTGACGTCAGTTTTTCATGCGTCTGTCCTGTTATTGACAATGAGTTTCGTCATAACATTGGCAAAGTAGTCTGTGGATCCACTCGACAATTCACAGCCACTTTGACAATGTTATGACGAAATTCATGAACAAAAGCAGGACGAACGCATGAAAAACTGACGTCAATTTGTTAAATAGACAACAAATCCCTCCCAGACTAGCTGTTTTCACAGTCGGTCGCTGCAGGTAAAGTGTTTCTGGTTGCTGTCAAAGATAACCTGATGATTAGTATTTTCCAATTCTAGTCTGAAATGTCAGTCATCTCCCGCCCTCAGCCTAATCCCCGGGCTAGGGAAAGGTTCCAGATCTGGACTATTCTACACACAACTGATTAGTTTTGCCGTAAATGATGCCAAATTGAAACCAAAACTGTGATTTCCTACTCTATCCCAGACTCTAAATTACGTGAGGCAAACACACTTACCCATAAACCTTGTTATTGGGAGCACTTTTCCTCCCCACCCCACTCCCGAAGATACATCTTTGGATACAATATCATAAACTGACGGATAGAGTATCATGATGGTAATCAAGTGATGTTAGTGAAATCTATATGATTAACGCAGCTTAACCCATATTACGCTTATGGTTGAAACAGTTTATTTCTTCTGTGTTTACATTTGCAGGGAGCTGGGCTGCAGCCACCCCGCAGGGCTCACTCTGTCTGCTCCATCACGCAATATTTTCTTTCCCATCGAATGCGTGACGGACCAAAATAACGACATCAGGAATAATCGTTTATCAATATTTGGTACACGCCTGTCAAATAAATATTCAAATTAATTTTATTAGCATAACAGCCGTAAACATAAAACAGCGTAGAGCTTTGTTTGTTGCACATAGACTATTAGTTCAAGTCGGCACCATTTAAAAGCTTCGACGCGATTTAATTACACCCTTGTATATTTGGCCTCAAAACATGTACCAATATTCTTCCATAACCCTCGGGGGACCGCAGTGTTTTCTCTAGATCTTCAGGAATGTAATAATTAAGCTGGTTAACCTTTCAAATCGGCATCTCTGCGAGTTATATCACTCAGACGCGAGATTGACCTTTTGCAGCTTTTTGTGGTGTAACTTAATCTCCTCACAGCATGAGCTGAGAAGTTCGAATAATTCTCAAGATTTCAAAGTGTCGATCGATTTGTCGGATCAAGCGTGCGGACACTCTTCGACTCTGGATTACTCGGCGCCGATTAATTCTTTGCTACCAGTACACCTTTGTTTTCAAGGTAAGAACTGTTGTTTATAGGAAATATCGTCAGGGGTTTAGTGTTTGAACGGATGACGATCTTTATCTCTTTTTTCTTCTGATACACAACCTTATATCGATAACAAATTGTCTAACGTTGGTTTTTAAGTTGTTACATAAACGAAAGGAGACAAAATGGAAATCCGAATGACGCTTTCATCGGCGGTTGCATTGTTCACAGTGGATTGATGCAAAGGTACTTTACTGTACACTACGTACGATGTGTTTCTCTATTTTTTCTCCGTGCAGAAAAGGTTCTAATTAACAGCCGACCACATTAGGAAGGTCAAATATTGATGAACGCAAAAAGCGTTTAGTTTTAGGAATCGATTTGAACAATTCTGTTTTCAGGTGCCTCTTGCGAATATTGGTTTGAAGATCTTTGAATTAACGAGCTTTCCTTTTGTGTATTCGACTTAACTTTGACACTTCAAGACAAAGCTCGTTTTAAACAGGCCTAAACAAGGCTACTTTAGTTTTGATTTTCCATCTAAAACACACATGAATAGCTTTCTGGTATATTTATTTACTTTTGTGAAAATGTACCAAGGAAAATAGAGGCGTCATTAGGATTTGTTTGCCCGTTTCTTAGCAAATCCCTTGTGGCTGTATGAAACACGAAGTGCAATTAAAGAAAAACACTTGAATTTCATTAACATTTAAATTAAGCGGTTTATACAGGTCTGCTATTCATTGGTAACTCTTTCAATGAACAATATAATATGACATGTGATCAGAGAAAGTCCACTTACTGAGGAGTCATGAAAATTATATCTTTTCCGATCTTGCGAGAAAATTCTGCTTTTACTCAATGTTCACGGAAACAAAGAAGCGCTTCATGTAAAAACTTTGCCGTTTACTCTCTGGGTTTGGAAATATGGTGATACTCCAGAAATGAATATATCTTAACTTGCTACTCAACAAGATATTTCCTTTGTATCACGAAAATAAGATTGCAATTCAGATCTGGCAGGTAGGTCAAACAAAAAGAATCCATAGCTGATAAATTAATCATTAGTTAATTAGCTATTTTGCTTATTGCTGATTTTTATTTCTTAAAGGTTTTAATTGTGTTGGTTTTGAATGTCCCGATCTCGTTTTTGAATATGATATACATCTTTTTTTTAGAAAAAATCGGGTTTATTTTTTCGCAATGTTAATTCAACAGAATGTTAATTTCATTGTCCAAGTAATCATTGGGAAGCATAGTTTTTGACTCAAAATTCTTAATCCTTTCTTTTTTAAATTGCATATTAAAAAACGTAGTGAATAGATTTTTCTTATTATTTATTAAGGGTAGGCCTCCTACGCAAGGTTCCTTATGGTATGTCATGCACTCTTACCTCCCCGACGAAGAACTTCTGCGTAGGAGGCTAATTAAGAGTTGAAGCCATTACATTCATCACTAATAACAAGAGACCTTATTGTATCAGGTACTCCACTATTAAATTGTTTTCGTCTTATGTTATAGACAATGTTATTGATTCGTATTTGCTTTTGTTTCCTCTTACTGTATCCTGTAACAAATTGGCGTATGAATACGGTTAGGCCTACCGTCTACACTAATCCGTCATGAAAACGGAACTTTCCGAAAACGCTCTTCAAACTGGACGAATTTGAAGACGCCGGCTTTTCGTTTTCGTGTGGACGGAGCTTTTAGAAAGCGATGGCGTGACGCAGGGCCTGGGCGTGACGATAATCATGTGATTTCCCTGACCGAGGTTTCCTCACACACAAATCCAAAATGACAGGTTATTGTTGCGTTTTTAGTGTGGACGAAAAACATTTGATGCGTTTTCAGAGTGAAAGCTCTGTTCTCAAATTCCTTCGACGTAGTGTGGACAGGGCCTGATGTAACGCATTCTTCCCCCCACCCCCTGCTAAAGGAAAAAATATCGGTGCGGAAACGTTGGTCCCTTGTTCCCTTGGTGTGCGAATAAGAAAACATCGACCAGGAAACAATGTTTTTGAAAATAAATTTAGAAGCATTAATGGTTTTTCGGAAGCAATATTCGCCTCTGCAACAATGTTTACGCAAGAGTGTTTTAGCACTCCTCGTTTGCGGGGGTTTATACTCAATTACCAGCCGCTGTTAGGACGGAAATCGAGCCTACGGGGGCCTAGAACAACTAATCAATCTCTCCGCGGTCGGATTCGACCTTTGACTGGCCTCCCACGCAGAGGCTCTAAGGGCTCGTGTGGAAGGAGCGCGCGACGAGCCCTATATAAGAGCGTCTGCGTGGGAGGCTAACCTTTGACTCGCCCACTCTGGTTTTTTCATTTCCTTCATCCAGAAGACAATATATCACCTAAGATAAGTAGCATATTACGTTTTTTGGACTCAGTAGAGATGAGTAAAACTTTAACCATGTTTCACTTCTTATCGAACTAGAAAAGGAAAAAACAAGACTCGAAGGTCTGTGGTTTGGACCGTACATTTTTGAAGACTTCAAACGCAAAGGGCCAATGAGATTTGGAGCTAATTCGAAATTCATACAAATGCATTTTTTTTAATTGCCCATGTTTTCCTCGGCAGGCAAAATGTCGTTTAAATTCAATAAGAAAGCTGTAGTAACTGGTGTAAGCTCTGTGGAGGCAGGTAAACTCCTGGTGTACGCTCAAACAGTAAAGAAAATTTCGTCCGAAAATGGCTGTTCCCTGGACGGGAATATTTTCTGTGTGGATCTTGGAGCTGCGGCACTAAAGAAACAATCGAAAAAAGAAAGCAGATGGTTAGAAGAAGAAGCAGACAATGCGAAGATAACTCCTGGGACAATAATTACCGTGAACGGCAAAGAGAGATACGTTAAAACAGAGGTATGTAAATAAGAAGTGAATACAATAAAACGTCGCTGCGGGCGACCTCGTAACGTGCGAGCAGGCATGCCTTTGAGTCACATCATAAGTGGCCCAAGCTCGCAAATGAGCGTCCTACTCAGTTAACGCAACAGTCGAAATGTAATGTCTTTTTGGGGGGGAAGACGGTACCGTTATAAAAGTACGAAGGAATATGCCGAATAAAAATAAACCTACTTTGCTTCAGGTGCGTGTTTCCTGGGGTCACTATTAAGGTGTTTTTTAGCTTCAATGCTTTGTATAAGCTGAAGACAAAGCAATGAAGCTAAAATAAATTGCCATAATTCGGCCTAGGAACCTTTTGATACGGGACCCAAGGAAACGTACACTTGAAGCAAGGTAGATTCATCTTTATTCATTCTCCTTCGTGTCCAACAAAAAGCGACGTGAGCCTGTTCGCAGTCTAGCCACTTCGTAAATGCGGCTACCTCGATACGTGAGAAAAAGAAGCAAAGGACTGAAAGGACGTAAATAGTGTGGTACCAAACTACAAGGGCAGTTTAAACTGTGTTTTAATTTGTGTCCCGTACTCGCAAAGAAGGAGTGCATTCTTACCAAAATCTAATACATAGCATCGACACAACTCGACTCTGTCGTGGCACAGATACGGGAATTCTCTTTCAAATCCCTCTGAGGACTACAGCCTACATGTCTTTTCCAAACAGAATATATTAAGAATCAAACCTTTTTTTCTTGTCTCTTGCTAGGTAGAAAATGTTGATCACCTGGGACTTCTCACGCCGCAATCGTTTCAACTATTCTGTCCGGCGTTTGGGAGCAATTCGGACAACGAGCTTTTCGAGACAGCGTTCCCTGCTGCCTCAATTGACCAAACGCGCCGGCTAATTTGTGCGGAGCAGCCAAGCCCTAACCTACGTTGGGTGATGTGTAAAAATGTTGTTCTATCCTATAATCAAACAACAGGCCGAAAGGAGGCCACTATTTTAGCAGTGGACATTGTCCAGATGAAACAGGCTGGGCGATTAGTCTCCACTTCGGTCCAACAAACTGTCACGGCTAAGCTCAATTGTAAAACGTTCTTGTCGAAAGTGGGCCCACAAAATCCCGGCCCCGTTTCTTTGACCCCGGCACTCGCCCTGGTAAAGATGGTGGATGAAGATGTGCCTGTGCCCCAGCCTCGATCCTGGGCAGAAATTGAAACTTTACTCCCCTGTTAATACATCGATTTGTGCTTTAAAGACGAGACATAACTACGTGATGAATGTAGTTTTTTGTTTGAGGGTGAAGTGCGTTATAATAAATTAACTGTAATATGATTAATTGAATTGTGAGAGGCAAAACATTCATGCATTTATTTTCGTTGCATTCTCACAAAGACGGATTTTTTTTCCATTTCATTCTTTTTCCATTTTATATTACATATTTTGCATAATTCATCTCACGGAAACTAAACTTGGTTGGTGCACCAAGTTTAAAATGTTGAAATTCAGTAACAGAAACTTAACTGGAAAAAATTAAAATGAGGTGGCATTTGTGGTTTACGATTGAACTTTCAGTCATTATACTTTCCCGATCAATCAAGCGATCCTTCCATCGGTAGGCAGGCAGTCCGTCCCTCCGCCCTTTCGTCCTTACGTACGTCCATCCCTTCGTCAGTCACTCAGTCAGTCACTCGGTCAAGCAACTAAGTCAATCGGTCAGTCAGTCATTGTTGATCAGTTGTTTCTTGAATTAATTTTTGAATTAGGTAGTCAGTGAGTCATTTAGTCAATCCTTAAGTCGGTCACTCGGCCAGTCAGTACGTCAGTAGATGAAATATCCCGGAAAGAAAGGGTTAAATCCAGTCTGTATAAAAAGGTACTGAAAGATTCCTCCCCTTGACTTATCACGAATAGTTGACAGAGGAAGATAGTAAAGATTCGAAAAAATATATATAATGGCAACCTCGTTCCCAAGCTAGATGCGCCGTCTGTGACGTAGCCCTTTTACAAGTTGCTAGGCAACATGTAATGTCTTATTTTAACGTCACAATGAAATGCCTAAAACTGGCGTATCAGAGTGTTTCCTTCATGAGCGGACTACGTCAGTGCAAAAATTGTCCATGGTTTTGGCAATACTTTTAAGGCCTGTATGGTCTTGGAACCAGCAGCTATAATTGGGGATTATGGCTCCTGCTTGGAACGCAACCTCGTTCCCAGGGCTTTCCCCTTAGCCATTTTCTCAATCTCGTTCCCATGACCTTTTCCTTGCAAGGGAAAAGGCCATGGGAACGAGGTTGGCAATTTCTAAGTGGGAAGCCCCGGGAACGAGGTTGCTTTTTAGTTGACTGGTACATGGTGTTACCTTACTTATAAATTCGTTAGAAATAACATGCGTATGGACTGTTATCGTGGCCTGTGTGCCAATAAAAGACAATCTTGTCCTTTTCTTAATTACTAGGAGATTTTATTTGTAAATTTTAAATCAGAACTCCAAGCAAAAGTGAGATAAAAATGTTTCTATCTAACCGTCCTATAAAGACTTCTTTGAACGTAAGAAATTCAAATACCTTAGCATGCAGGCCAATCATTCTCCAATATTAACTTGGTCAGAGGCTAAGAATTAAATTAGGTCCAGTTTGAATCGAACCGTGTCGTAATCTAAAACTATTGGGGTGTCTGCAAAATCCGAATAGCGAATACCGAATAGTCCCGAACAGCGAATAGCGAATAGCCCCGAATAGTGCGAATAGTCTCGAATAGTGGCGAACAATCGCGAAAAGTGGCGAATAGTGACTGACGAATAGTCGTCGTCAATAGTCACCGCTTTAGATCTAATATCCNAACGCAACCTCGTTCCCAGGGCTTTCCCCTTAGCCATTTTCTCAACCTCGTTCCCATAGCCTTTTCCTTGCAAGGAAAAAGGCCATGGGAACGAGGTTGGCAATTTCTAAGTGGGAAGCCGCGGGAACGAGGTTGCTTTTTAGTTGACTGGTGCATGGTGTTACCTTACTTAAAAATTCGTGAAAAATAACGTAGGTATGGATTGTTATCGTGGCCTGTGTGCAAATAAAAGACAATCTCGTCCTTTTCCGGCTTAATTAATAGGAGATTTTATTTATTAATTTTAAATCAGAACTCCAAGCAAAAGTGAGATAAAAATGCTTCTATCTAACCGTCCTATAAAGACTTCTTTGAACGTAAGAAATTCAAATACCTTAGCATGCAGGCCAATCATTCTCCAATATTAACTTGGTCAGAGGCTAAGAATTAAATTAGGTCCAGTTTGAATCGAACCGTGTCGTAATCTAAAACTATTGGGGTGTCTGCAAAATCCGAATAGCGAATACCGAATAGTCCCGAACAGCGAATAGCGAATAGCCCCGAATAGTGCGAATAGTCTCGAATAGTGGCGAACAATCGCGAAAAGTGGCGAATAGTGACTGACGAATAGTCGTCGTCAATAGTCACCGCTTTAGATCTAATATCCTGCGTTAATTAATTATACAAATAATAAGCAACAGAGTTTCAGTGAATTTATTACCTTTTCTTCTCCGGACTCAGGCTAGTAGGCTGTCCATCGCCGACATTAAGAAA